CGTGCGTGCGTGCGTGCGTGCGATGTATACATATTTGTGCGTGTGCGAGTTTGTTCGTGCACGAGTGCGCGTGTGTGCGTGCGTGGGTGCGTGCGTGCGTGTGTGTGCGTGAACGTGTATCGGATTACACGTGCGTCACATTACGAATATCGCGTTAGAAGACCAACCAGAATAATTATAGCTATATATAACCAGTCTCATCAGTCTGGGTTCTTGAAGCTCAACATTTAATGTAGTCCTAGGGACTTCTGCATGATGGTTCATTATTTCAAATTTTTGAGCCTGGCGTTATTCTTATTTTGATTTGCGCTCGTTATAAACGGAAGCATTATTAGAATTGGTTATTCTGTATGTCCGCACTATTGGAGATATAAATGCACGGCAGAAATTTTCTGTCTATAACCGGCAAAATCATTTCAGGACAATTCACATATATTTAATTAAAATCAGTGCTATAGTGTTGTCTGCATGTCTCCCTCGCCCCATCTCTCTCCCTCCCCTCTCTTTCTCTCTCCCCTCTATCTATCTATCTATCTATTTATCTATCTATCTACCTATCTATCTATATATCTATCCTTGTCTTTCCCTCTCGTCTTTTCTCTCTAGTGCCTTGTCTCTCTCTCCCTCACACACACGCACGCACACACGCGCACTCGTGCACGAACAAACTCGCACACGCACAAATATGTATACATCGCACGCACGCACGCACGCACGCACGCACGCATACACACATATACCCGCACATACACTGATACAGCATTCTTACTTTCACTACACTGATTTGACTGATGACTGATTTTACTCAAAGCGCTTCGATTTTTCTTAATCTGTGATCGCGATCTGTCTGCAGAAACACGAGACGGGCGGCAGAGGTATGGATGGATGATTTCAAGCAGTACTACTACAGCGCAGTGCCCTCTGCCAGGAATGTCCCGTATGGAAAGTGAGTAGCAGTCACAATCTCATACAAATAACAAGCACCTCGGGTATTCGTTGGCATTGTGGCGTAAAGCCTTGGACACTCCATGCGAATTTATTCGCACGTCCGGGGCGATCATATCCGCGGCGAAAATAATTATTCGCACCCGCATGCGATAATTGAGCGGACACACCATGCGAATTTATTCGCACGTCCGCAGCGGACACACTACACGCGATCTACTGGCTCCAACCATGGCTCCAACAGTCATGTGGTCACGTGATTAGCATACTGATCAATGATTCGATCGGCCAAAAACAATCGGCCGGCTTGATTTTCGCTTCCACGGACACACCATGCGAATTTGTACGCAGTGGTAAAAATCCAAAATATCAAACATGTTTGATCGCTGCGAATTTTGGTGCGGATGAAATTCTCCCGCGCTTAGGCGGACACACCATGCGAATATTAATCGCTGCGATTTTACAATCGCTGCGGACGTGCGAATAAATTTGCATGGTGTGTCCGCCGCTTTACGTGGTGCGATGGTCCCCAGAAGGCCAGGGGCCCGTTGTCACAAACAAAATAGTCTTAACATTAACATTAATTAGTATTAACTTTACGATGTTTCTGACAACGGCGCCCTGGAGCTTGAGATCAATGCTGAGGTGGCTTCATGAGACTCAGAGGCATGTTATCACAAAGGTGATTCTCGTCGTAGCTTGTGATGAGATTCTCTGTGAGTCGTAGCGATGACGGCCCTCTTTTCCTTCATCTCTCGTTTTGTAAGCGTTATACGCTGCTAATGCTTATGAAGAGCCGTAGATCTCTTCTCTAGTAATCTTTCCACGTGCCAGTTTTCAATGATGCAATTCCATCAGTCTATGGGTGGGCAATTTCCATAAGTCGGCTGTGCCATCAATGGGTAATGATTTTAGGATTTCAAAATCTTCATTAAATAAGATTATGGGACTAACATGTGTTCAGTATGTACAAATGACATACAACATAGAAGTGATGTATTTTTATTATTAATTAGTTTTCTAATGTACGATGTATTCTAATGAACTATTTGGGTTTAATGTTTATTCATCAGTTTATTCATTATTGTATCCCCCGTGACGAAGTCGGCGGGGATACTATGGTTTCATGTCTGTACAGCCGCCACCGCCGCAGACTTTCCCTTCCGCTCTATAACTCGACCCCTAATTGACCTAGCGTGACCAAACATAGTCTACTTACACATCTTGGGGAGAAGGTGCGCAGCGTACCAAAACCAGGTCACTATACGTCCTTTATTTGACTTTTCCCTTGACCTTGATCATATTTTCCTTTCGCTCTATAACTCGGCCCCTAATTGACCTAGCGTGACCAAACATAGTCTACTTACACATCTTGGGGAGAAGGTGTGCAGCGTACCAAAACCAGGTCACTATACGTCCTTTATTTGACTTTTCCCTTGACCTTGATCATATTTTCCTTTCGCTCTATAACTCGGCCCCTAATTGACAGCATCCTGCATCTTTACCACTTTGTGATATAAAACAATAGATAACCATGCCATGCGCTGGATATCATATGCAAAAGACGAAACGATTAGATAATAGTAGGCATTGAGATTAAGACTCGCGCGTGCATCGTGCATGATGCAGCACAGAAGTGAGAGGGACCAGCTGAATTGAAGATTACGTATTGCTTACAG